GTGCTAATGCTCGAATTCTTTCGAAGCATAAACCTAAACATAACAGTTAAAGTTAAACACTTTAAATACACTTCATGTTATCAGCATTTGTTCAGACCGTGCCCCCTTGGAATTTACACCCTCGAGGCGCATGGATTGAGGGGTGTTATTTACTCTTCTGGAGCGAAGGAAGTTCTGTCGAAATAATCTTCGACCAATTTTTTTTATTTGCTGTGTCAATTTGTGCCACGTCTTCATATTGCGACCAGACAGTCAAAAGTTTTCTAACAGCTTCGCTGCACTCAGCTGTTAGTGCGTTCTATTCCACTTTCTGTAGCTTCGTCGGCATCAAATTTTCTGAATTTTACTACGTGCTCTTACATATGATCCTTTAATAATTTGAAGCCACTGCATGGAGTTTTTTTCACACATTTTCGTTTGCAAATTCAGTCTCGCAAAGAAGGTCGAATAATTTACCTATCCACATTGGTATATTTCTAAATTTGTCCCCAATAAAACGTTAATGACGTATCAGAAAACTTTAGCAACAAAATTTTGCTTGAACCGTGTGCGTAGAATATTCCTTTACCAGTAAGTAGTTAATCGTGATCTTATTTTAAGTTACAGAGGCGATCATTACAATAAAATAAAATTTGCAAAATCAAATGCTATAGTTTATTATTAAGAAACTGAATATAAATGATTATTTTTCAGTGAAGCAAAAATGCATACTCGTATAATAGGAACGCGAACTGTGTTAAGAACTTGTTCGAGTTTCTTAGATCACAACTTTTCTTCGATTCGTAACTTTCAACTCGAACCTTATATTCTATTTTTTTATTTAAATAAATAATGGTATATGATGTACATAGTATGAAGTTAAAGTTACGCAACATCGTAAATTTACAGTTTTGTAAATTACATGTAATTTCTCAACACTAATTAGTCTAGAGAGATGATCTAACTGCCTATACCACAGTATATATTTGCATGGTCTATCCTTACTTCAGTTTGGCAGTGATTGTACGTTACTTTTTCACGCTGCTTTCTAGTCAGATTTTTTAATTTTTTATTCGTACGCATTATCTAATGAAACAGCACATAAATACATATGATTCCAATTTAACTTTGAAAAAATAACGTTTGGTTTAGACAAATGGTATATTTTAATGACTAATTCTACATTAGACTTTGTGTGAAAGAAATAAGACAATTAATAATCAAATTTATAAACTAGAGAAACCGCATGTAAATAAACCACGTTTATTATTTATATGAAATCTAGTGAACAATATTTTGAGGTATCTAGCTCAGTTTCAGAATACAGATAAGATTTATAGAAAACGACGACAGACAACAAGCAAAAGATGTACCCAAACAGAAAATTCAATTTTTTTCATTTTATGAAGCTGTAAAAAAACATTAATTTATAGCTATTAATGTAATGAGAATATTATACGTCCAGGACGTTGTCAGGTCAGGTCAGACGAAATAATCGATGAATTGGAAATATATCGTTCAAAACTTAAAATTTTACTTCACTTTAAAATGATCATATGTAACATGAGAGGATAAAATAACCTTTATACTACGATAACTAAGAGGTTCTAAAATCATTTCTAAACCTCGATAAGTAAACGTATGTAACTTATGATTAGAAAAGAATTAGTTAAAGATAGAATTAAATCTTTGCTATTCAAAATATTATCCAATCCATTAATTTTAATGTATAGTTGTTGTACAACTTCAACTGAAATAAATTATCATTTTTTTAAAGTCGTTATATAATAGCACTTTATTAAGTTTTTGAAATATGTCAATGATTTTAGTTGGTAAAGAAATGTTTTCAATTAATATTACACTGTTCCTGGATTATTTATTTTTTCTACTATTTGTTCGATTTTTATTTCCGGATAGTAAGTTAAGGAACAATTATTTTATTATAGCGTTATTGTGGCTAACGTGTAGAAAGTTAGATTATTCTTGTTTGTAAGTATACTACGAAAATTTTGCAACAGAAACCATACGTAGAACCATAAATTACAAACTCTCGGTCCAAGTTGGCATTTAGCTACTCATTACATTTTAAGTAGGATTTATTCGGCAAAATTTTGTATATGGGGGGGGGGGGTTGGATAAATAGATACAGTTTTATTAAAAATTTACCGTGCTTACAATAACTTTAAAACGTATGCAATATCAACAAAATAAATTGACTCGTTCCTGATTTTTTTGGGTCACCTGTATAAGCAAATCGGAAAAATCTGAATATAATTATTATCAGTCACAAGTATAGACTCATCATATTTTGTACAATTTAGATAGGATTTATTCAGGAAAATTTGGAGGTGACGTCATCAAAAATGAGGGATAAGCAAATATATTTTGAATACAAATTTTACAATGCTTACGATAACTTTAAAATATATGCAACATTTCAAAGAATTCCGTTTTGCAGATTCAAAATTAAATTGCAAATTGTTGCTCTATAATTTTGATTTTTTTTTCCGAAAATCTGGACGTTTCGGGTAAAAACTCAATATGTAGTCATGAACTACAGGTGTAGGAGTTGTATAGGACTATGTTATTTTATACAATTTAAAACCCATTTACTACGGATAATTTTGAGGTGACGTGATCACATTGTTTATGGAAACGGTTAGAGAAAGTTTGGTTAGCGTTTTATGATCTACATGATAAAAATCGACACAGACGGCGGACAGGCGGACAGATGGACAGACAGACAGACAGACACGGGAGACGCATTTTCTCGTACCCTAAGGGTCATGACTCATCGAGAAGCAAAACATAGTTTAAAGTGATGTTTTCCTGGTATTTTAGTAATGTAGTTTCAGTTTTACAACACACGGTGACCAAAAAAATAAGGAATAATGAACCAAATAATATTTCCATTGGTCTCAGGATTCAAGTGTTACTGTTTCAAAAATAATATATATATATTTTCCAATTGTAAAGGTTAAAATTGTGTTTTAATCATTGTTTAGTAACTATGAAAGTTAACCTTTATTCATTCAATGATGAACATTTTTTGTTCACAAGTGAGGGAAAAATTTTATTCACTGGTCAAATTTCAATTTTTTATACAATGTAAATGACAATTCTGTACTAATAAAACATATTTATTCACAATTAATATTAACAGTAGAACAAGAATTAAATATAAAAACACGGCCTGAATTATTAATTGAAGAAGGTAGCTCCATCGTGTGTTCCAACGAGGCATCTGCCAAGGAAGGCACAACTTTTCAATGTCTTCTCCTAAAAATGTTTTCGATTTTTTTTCCACAGAACCCTCAGAGTGTTTCTTTATAAAGGCTTTCAACTTTAAGAACCCAAAAAAACATCTTTTAAAGAAGATAATATTGTAGATCGTTTACAAACCTGCTAATATGTCCATATCTTCTTTAATCATTAGAGTTTTCTTCAACATCGAATATTGGGAGTCTAATGAACTCGGTTTGAACACTTTTCGGAAAAATATGCGATCATTACATTCTCAGAAACACCAGTAACTTTCTTTTCTTCTTTCCATTTGAAGAAACTGTATCATTCAGCTGATTTCGTAGGCAGCAGCTCTCCAATTGCTGCCCGTGCTTCTTGTTCCACATCCGGTGGTGTTCCAATGATTTCCTCTCTCAGTTCTTCCATGATTTCTTCCGAAACAGCACCAGAAATATCACTTTTATAAATTTGCGATAAATTGTTGATTTTATTTTTACGCGTTAGTATAGATACTCGTACTTATCAGCTCTGCCAACTATCTTTGTGCATTCCAGTATTCCACAAATTAAATTTTTAAGCAATGTTGCTTTTTTAATTTTATCCGTTACAACGTTACAATTGGAAAAAACACTACACTTCACTCATGAGAGATCGAATTTTAATCATTCGTGAACACTTACCTTAAATTGTGCCCACTCATGATTAAAATTCATAATCCCTCACTCGTAGTAATATACTATGATCTCACCGAAGTTTGTAGAACAGGGTAACGTTGTCATGATGTTCCATTTCACAAACATATTAAAATTAAAATGTTCACTGCTAAGCAAAATGATAAAATAGATCTTGAGGCATGCAGAATAAGTTGTTTTGAAAAGGCGGGGAAAGTTCTGTTTAAATAACTTCGGATCAGGTTTTTTTTTTCATTTCAAAAATCAGATCGTATCAGCAGAAATTTGCCTACTGTCTCATACTTAATGCATGGGACAATGGACTCAAACGTTATAATTATTTATTTATGGTTGTGGTTTTAGTGGATCGGATTTTTAAAGTGATAACTGTAATCAAATTTTATATATAGATACAACCCGAGGGTTTTTGCAGTAATTCTTCCGTAATCGTCTTTAATAAAGTTTTAAAATGATTTTGTCGACCCGGATAACCCCTCGTTAGAGAAATTTTATTTTCGTGTGTTAAAATACCATTTCGGGTACATAAATATCTGGAGATGTATTGTATTAGAAAAGATCCAATCATTTCGCTAAATAGTATTTAATACTCCGATAAAAAAAATTAAAGAATAAATACCAGAGTTGTTCTTTGATAGTTTGTGTTTCATAAAAGAATACTAGTAAATATAGGTCTGTATTTCTGCCTTAAAGTTAAAGAAACATCTGTGTTGACTTATTTCAGGGAAGTATTATTGCAATCGCACTTCACTTAATTAATTTAATTGAATACGACTTCAGATTATGCATGCAAAGTTTTGTTGTTTACCTTACTTGGTATCAGGTATTGTAATAAGGTAATGCCTAAAACAGAAAGAATATGGATAACGTAATAATAAGCATGTTGGTAGTACAATCAATATATACCGTGTAATGAAGTAACGCGTGTTAATATGGTTAAGTAAGTGTCCTAATCCCCGAAAATATCCCACGGGAAAACTTTAACAATGCATGATTTCTGTAAGGACTTTACGTTTCAGTTTTGAGTAATGTGTTAATGTTAGCAGAATATGTTTAGGTCTTAGTTTATCGTTTTTTTTTGTGTCACAGATTTATTACCAGGACGTCGTTTAAGCTATGTGGCAGCCGACATTGGAACAAATTCTCCAGGCTTAAGTCGAAGCAAATCGTCTTTGGCAGCTCAAGCCATCCGAGTGATGACCGAGATGAGAGACAACGGAACTGTCGCTTTCATCGGCCCCGATGATACTTGCTCCAGTGAGGCGTTAGTTGCCGCCGCCTGGAACTTGCCGATGATATCCTATGTAAGTCTGTTAATGGTTAAATTTATGGAAAACGTGATTTTTTAGTGACTTTCGGAATTATTAGAACGAGTTTACTCGCTACTGCTTTTAAGGGTTTACTACGGTAATGACAAGGTTCTTCCCGGTTTTATACAATAATTTTCTCTACGGAACTGTAAACAACGAAATAATCATATTTGCTGGCAACTTCTAATATTAACTTTGGTGGTTTTACTTCGGGATTGTGATGACAGGGGTGAAGTGGGCGACGTAATCTTGTAAACATGAAACGCCTTAAATAGAGTTCGCTATATCTTGGACGTGCGGCGAAGGCGTTATTAACAATAGGTATTAAAAACATGTCAAATTCTAATATTTAATGGGACACATTTAATTCGCTGTGTGTTCATCAACGATATTTATGTATTACTAACATTTCAGAAATTTTCACAGAGAAATAATATATAACTCGCACCACAAGTCTATCACTTCTCCGTAAATGTACCAACATACGAATGAAGAAGAACAAAAGTGATCTAAGCAGACGTTATCTGACAACTGAAACGCTGATCGATTTTAGGAGTACGTCAGAACGTATATTTCATTAACACATGCGTTATCATACATATGTATATAATTTCGTAAATTTCGTATACCGAGTAATTAAATATTAATGTTGTTGTGGTTTTTTTGTCAGGTTGGCAACTTATTTAAAATTTTATGATGGCATACTTGATTGTCAAAGCGACATTTAATACGTTTGTTAGGCGACTCATGTCAAAATTGACAACATCCGGTGTTAATATTGAATTTTCTTAGCTATGAGAAAAATAAAAAAGAAGGAAAACCCTTCCGTGTTTGCTACGAAAAGTCAAGTGCATGGCGATTAAAACTACTGCGTGGGTAAGAAAACAAAAAAGTGTTACGATAATTTTCATTAATATCATCAGATTACCTAGTATTATTGACCACAGTTACACTAAACTTTAGATGCTTAAGTCATAATTGTGTTTTCTGATTCTGATATACTTAGTAATTCACCTTGATGCTTGTCCAATATATTTAGGTTTGGGGTCTCAATCTGGATGTGTATAACACTTTTTTTCCATTACTTTGAAAACGTGTTCTAAATACGGTGACTGACGAAGAAATGAGATTATGGCCTCTGTCGTTCTCTTTGAAAAACAGAAAATTGAGAAGCTTATTTTTTAAGTTTAAACTTATTACGACCTACTTCTATTTCAATACTTACATCCAAGATTAAAACACGAATAACTTTAGTACCCTCATTTTCATTTTTTTTTACAATACTCCTTTCCGGTTGGAACATCGTGTTTTGAATTAAGTACTAGAATTTCAAACGTAACATTTAGAACGGCTACTTTGATGTTTCTTAAATGTGCTCTGGCACTCCAGACAAGGGTAAATCCTTGACCACAGATGAGATTGCTTACTGATTACGAATTATGGTAAAGATTAATAATTACCTACGAAATGACAATGAGTAAAAATACAAACAACAAAAACTTACAGACTCACGATATTTATTTTATGACTCTTCAATTTAAATTCATCAGAGTATCGATAAATACTCAATACATTGCCAACTAGGACTGGTACTTGCGAACCTGTTGCTAAGTTTAAGAAGGAACTTAAAATATTTATTAGTAGACAATGCCTTCTATAGCTTAGGAGAATTCTTTAATTGTGTTGTCAAATTATTTTCTGATGTGATTTGTGATTGTATTGTTTTGTTTGCACATTGACGTGTCGTATACAATTTCAGTGTTGTCTTAAAGGAAATAAAGTATTATTATTATGATTATTGATATTATTATTTCTAATAATAATTACTGAAATTTTGAAATAATGAAGAGCGCGCGCTTGGCGACTCACACATATAATTTTGATACATAGCAGTATTTACTAATTTTTGGGATAACACGAACAATTTTTTGAAGAAAAGGACTTATACGATCATTAAATCTCCGTTAATCTCAAAGTAGTCAGTAAGTTCTTAGAAAAATTATTTTTTTTACGTACTATACGGTTAACGATATGGATAATTAACTTTGGTTGATACTGTAACATCAATACTTAAACGATATTTTTAACGTATGTACGCGGATAGTTTCAAAGTAACCATTTTTGTAGTTTCGGAGATTTATCTGGCTAATAAAATCCCTAACAGACGAACAGACAGATGAAAACGTGTTATAATAATTCGTTTAGCTTACATTTGCCAAGTAAAAGAGAACATTTCCGTTCTTTATTATCCTTTGTTTAATAGGTTTCTCTGTTTATATTTAGAATGACAACTTACGTTACAGCTGGGAAAATGCAGCAAAAGTATTAGATATTCAATACACAAGAAGTGTTGTAATTTGATTTCTTATTTGTTGCGAAAGTTCAAAGCAGGTGGAGAATTTCAAAGGTAGCAGAAACGTTATATTTTGAGAGTACCAGATAAGAGGTTCCCGAGTTTTAGCTTCTAACATATGGATAAAAGGGAAAATTCAACAAGTTTTAGGTGATTGGATGTACCTCTGTCCCATGTTTCATTAGGTGATGTTTTGTAAAAGACACAGATTGATCAAATAATTCAATTTACACCATTGAGCTATTTTTATTAACCTTGAAAATGTTATTCAAATAAGAAAAATCTTAATCTTTTGTGTACACGATGTGGTCCACTTATTATTCCTTAAATACTTGCTGTTAAAAGAATAGCTTGATATAAATGTCGGTATTCTTTTTCGTGTCAACTTTTCAAATTTTCTATGTAAATATAAATAATAAGAGTTACAAATTACATCATTTTTCTCAAATAAAATCACAACAGGAATCAAAAGTCGTATGATTCTGAAATATTTTAGACCGCCGTATTCTGGCTACGATTTCCCAACCGCAGCTTTGTTTAACGCAGTAGTTTGTGTTTGATGGGTCACACCGTGTATTTTCGTTTCATGACCTTATTTTGCGTATTTTGCATTTTTAATTTATTATAATTAACTGCTTTAAAGATGACTTATTAAAAATGAAATTTCTAATATATCCTACTTGATTGATACTTCCATGAGATTTTTTAACATAAGACGATAATTAGGTACTATTTTCAATTAATTATGGTAAGATGCTATTTGATTAGAATAATTATGGCAATTAACGAACTAAATACAGTACAGTAATACAGAATTTTAACGTTAATAAATTATTTTTAAGATGAAATCAGTGAAGGTATTGATTTTATATATTTAACTTTTTTTTTGATAAGTAACATTTTTTTCTTTTTCTTCTTTTAATTTTTCTATGGTTTTCGTAATTTTATTTTTATTTTGCACCCCAGTAAAGGCGGCACTAAGTAAAGTAGGCCAGAGAAAACAATTATAATTGTAGTTTTTACAGCATGCATTCTGTACGTGTAAAATTAAATACAAAAATGTAGTAAACCGTGTGAACATTAATACTGTTATTTTTTGCAGAAATGTAGTGATACACGTGTGTCTGACAAGAAGGTTTTCTTTACATTTGCCAGAACTTTGCCACCATCGAGCAAAGTGTCAAAAAGCGTCGTTGCTTTATTGCGAGCTTTCCAGTGGCATCGTTTCGTGGTCGTTTCGGGCACGCATCCAGCTTCTGCAAGCGAGGTCCAGGAAGCAATTGAGGTGGGTGTATGTAAACAGTGCTACACTTACCAGCCACGATTTGTTTACTTCTCCAGAATCTATTAAACTGCATAACTTGTTTGGTTCAATAACTCCATTCTTTTAATATTATAATATTTAAAAGAAAAATGAGTTTGCACAAGATATTGCGTTGTTTAGTGTAAGAAAATATTTGCCTTCAGATTTTGGTTTAGCCAATATTCTGTTTTTGATAGATATGTCAATAAATTAATGTGAACAACCTCGTACCGGTTAGGCGCTTTTTATTGGAAAAGTTAATTACAACTGTGTGTAGCTTGATCCCGTGACGTTATAATTAAAGCGTCGACTGGATTTTTCGTGGCAATTCAAATAAAAACCGTGTTTTTTCGGATGAACGGGTAAACATTCTCACCTTAGTGGGGGTGCAATTAAACTGTTGGTGAATTTAAAAGCCAAGTGCTCTTTTTTACAGGAACTTTCGATCATTCATGGGTTGACTGTCACCGATATTAAACAATATTCAGATTATATTCCTCATTATATTGAACAGATGGACAACATAGTTGCTGATACCTACATGAAAACTCGAGGTAAGTCAAAATAAAATTACAAAATACTGGGGAAGTTAAAGAAACGGAGAACTAAACAGGAAATATCTACACTATGTGTTATTAATTTCGATAATTCACTTCTTAATTGTTGGTAGAAAAATAAACTTCTAGAGTCTACTCAAGTGCTGACAGTTTCCTCAAACACAAGTCAAAAATGCATGAAAACTATTTCTAAGCATCTCAGTATTTTGGTCTCTACAATAATAGGGAAATTACTTGATTTGAATATTTCCAAACCTCAAAAAGTTTTAACAAAATTACATACAATTGTTAGCTTATGTTTCGTGTTAAAATGATGTATATGAACTTTAGTAAAGAAAAGTTGCTGGTGAAGGGAGTAGAAGGTAGGATAAAAGGGTTTGTTGGCCGCTTTGGCACTACTACTATCTTCTTTCCCTCGTCTTCTATGATTTTGTGGAGAATCCATAGAATGAGTGAAAACGGTAGAAAGGCGCAAAAATAGAGGGAGGCCCAAGATACCGTGAATACGTCGATAGCTCAGCATTTAGGATTGTGTGTAGGAGATCAACTTTTTGCATTTCGTAATAATGTTGGATGCAAACAGGTTTATCTGGAGTAAAGCTATGTTATACTAGATTTTCTTCTGGCCTCATACCAGGGCCAAATCTGATAGGTGACGTTGTTCAGTCGTCTGAATGTGATCCTCCTACCATTCTATTAATATAGGCAACGGCCGTGGTGTTGTCTATCCGCAAGAGTCCAGAACCCTTGACTATAGCTCCCCCAGTGAGCTATAGCCACACGATCTGGCGTCTATGAATATTACTACACAGTATTTGCTAAGTGTCAGGGAGATATTTGTTAGGGGAATCTTTTCAATCCGTTATTTAAGATCAAGCTTGAGTTCATGGGTGTCATACAGATTGCCGTTGTTGCGTTTGACAGCCAAATATTTTGTCTTTCTAGACGTTTAACGTGAGTCCAACGATATTTAACAGCTGGCTAAATTGAAAGTGAAAAAAAAAAGTGAAGACAAATGTTTCATGATGGATTTTCTTTTATGTTCTTGGAGAGATATAGACAGATTAAAGAGAAAACTAACGCTCTCTTACTCTAGGTGAACTTTTACCTTCGCGTGGTACAGGATGATTTCACAAACCGGGACGTTCGTTTAACTTTTACATTACATACCAATACTAAATTTTATTTATTTAATAGGTGCCATTCAATGATTTTAATTTAAATTTTCAGAATAAAAAATGCTATACTACAAATTTTTTTAATGAGTAGAAAAGCAATGTGTTTAAGAATGTTAAAAAAGTACTTGTTCAATAACAATTGCACACTTTTGAAAAAATATTATTAAACAATATGCTACAAAAATTTAGTGTTCTTTTTTCAAAATAACTAAATAGGTAAAGTAAAATAACAATTAATTTTCGACTTAACCAATGCAGCTTTTCTTTTTATTAATTAAATGAATTAGTAAATTTGGAGACAATTTTTTTGTACTGCGAACCTTTAAGGTATTTTTATTTTCCGAGCGTAAGCTAAGGGAATATAGTAATCCAGTCCATTGGACGAATATCCACTTTTTTTAAATTTGAAAAAACGCTGGATACATCTTTACGCTTATTGCATTTTAATTAAAGTTCGTTCCGTTTTTAGCTTTCGTTGTTTGTTTTTGGTTGTTGATTTAAGATTTAATTAAAATGGGTTTGTTATCTCCCATGTGGTGGATTTTAGATAAGCTGTATAGTTGCCACTGAATCGTAGAAAGATGTAGACATAAAAATCGTCATCTGCAAACTTTCAAAATACAAAAAAACTGAACTGCACCAATAATTATTAACAGAGTAAATTGAAAATAAGGTGTCGAAAATAGTCTTTTCCAATTTCTAATAAAAAATATATAATAAATTTAATCTCATTAACAAAAGAATAGTTTAATGCGAAATTGCAAAAAATTTTGTATGATACACGTGAATAAAAAAATTTGATGCCCTCAAAAACATTATCGCGCTCAACTTCGTCTCGTACGCTAAACTATTTTTTCGTGAATAAAATTCGCCTTTTTTCACTTATTCCATAAACAGTTATTATTTATGAACAAAATGTTAATGATCAAAATCGAGACCGTTTGTCTAAAGGTGACAAATTTTATTTGCAAAAATCAGGTAACTGTGAATTAGAACCATAATTACGAACCTTTGTTGTTTCTCTGTTGGAGAAGGATATAGCCCTTTTACTTCCAAAGCGTAAGCAAAGGAAGTATTGTAATAGGATCCATGGGGCGACTGACTACTTTCAAGTTTTCTCGATGTTTCATGATCCCTAGAGTGCGAAAAAAATGGTCGCCCGCTTCCATCTGCCTGTCGTCTGTGTCGATGTTTATTAGGCCGATAAACTCCGAAAGTACTGGATCGATTGTCGTCAAATTTTATGCGTATTTTAAGCGTTTCGTGTAGATGGCAAAACGCTAACCAAAATTTGTCTAATCATCACCACCAACAATTTGATGGCGTCCACTCATTCTATTGCTTAGTTAAGATTATCCAAATTTTATTTTCTACTTGTGGTTTATGATTCTACTTTGATTTTGTTTATTATTATTATATTTATGTATTGCGTAGTCCGTCTTGTTTTTTAGAGACTTTAGACACATAATACGGTCTTCCATTTCCCCTGCGGTTTAAGATATCAGAATTATTTACTACAGTACAGTTAATAATTTGAAGAAGTTAGATTAATCTTAGGAACCTTTGAGTTAAAAAATTCTGATATCTACTTAATTTACTGTAAATATTTATCTCTTTGATATTGAATTTATGACATTTAATATTACGACTGACTGTCTTCGAGAGGTTTTACGTTACCTTCGACCTTTCTTTTATTTGTATAAGCTGATTTGCATTTACATTCAAAAGTCAGATATTAACTAAGATCATGTGCCACTTAGTGACATGAAGCAGTTTTTGCTATCTGAAAAAACCAGGCAGTATTCGATTCAGTTTAGAAGTTGGACTTGAAATATACCTATTTCTACGTATATTAAAAAACAAACAGATAAGGTCTCGTTTTATTCGTTATATTTCCAATCCCTAATACTCCATGTAATATTAACAAAACTGGCAGAGTTGATGCTGCTAGAAACGATTACCCTTGGCCTGAATCTTTATAATATCCATAACAATGAGGCATGCAAAATATGTTCTAGAAACATTTTGTTTCGCTGCAACATTGGTTCTAATACCTTTTTAGATTACGGTTTCATGCTTTCAGGATAGTATTTTAACATATCCATAATGTTTTAAGAAACAAAATTTGTGTCAAATAAGTTTGTTTTGAATCTGTTATGTATTAATTCTTTAGACATATAGTACAATATGGACGCACGTTTTCTTTAAACATTTAAAATCACATTCAGTTTAACATAAATTCAACGAAATGTTATTAATATCATTAGTTTCCGTTTTAGTATATGTCTTCGTCGGTGAACACATCGCATTAATCGACTTCATCAAGTGCTTACAAAGGCGTAAACTCTTAGACACGGGAGATTATGTTGTGATATCTGTCGATGACGAAATTTATGACCCCAATAGAAGAATCAAGATTATTAGACGAGGTAAATCTAATTACAACAGAATTTCAAGTTTACTCTAGACCTTTTTTTATAAATTATGTTACAGACTATCTCGATCCTTTCCTCAGTGAAACATGGGGCAACGTTAGCGATGTAATGGGTTTCAGATCGGTGCTCAAACTCACTCCATCTCATCCACGCAATCCGAAATACAAGTAAATGCTAGTTATTACAATTTCCCCCGAAAGTATCTGACGATTTTTTTTAGATACGTGTGTGAAAAGATTAAAGCTTCTTCAGCTAAGCCACCATTCTGTGTCCCCTATCATCATAAAATATTTGACAGTATATCGGTAAGCAGCAGATTTAGAATGTTTGCAAAGCCATTATAAGTTTTCCTAATTAAACTTCTAAACTCCTAAAACAGATTATGGTGGAACAAATAACATTCTCTCGATTCTAAAATAGTGGAACGAACTTTTATCGAGTTATAAACGATAATATAATTAAATGCTTCTTAACTAAGCAAAAACAAATTTAAATTTAGAACTGGCGAACACTTAGTGCTTTTTATTTTGAGTACTAAACTTTCTGCTGTTAATTTCAGATAAATTTTGTGCCTCTATTGAACATTAAAAAAGTTAAACGTTAACTTTTCTTACAAGTAGTATTCTGTAGTAGGTAGTACATATATATTCTATTTATTTGTATGATGCACCAGATGCACATTTTACACAATGTCGATGCGTTTCACCAACTACATTTTTATGTTATCGACCAGGATGTATCAAATTAACGGTAAAGTGAGCTGCGTATATTTCATACTAGTATCTTTCTTAAACAAGGAATTTCGTAGAGGTCTTGTCAGTTTTTAAAAACGTATACACATCTAGTACTGTTAGAATTCGATTTTTATGTAATAAAATTTCACTATAAATTGTGTTTTTTTTTAGAATTTATGTCGGTTTAATTTATATTTTTCTTATTTATCACATCATATTTCATGATTTACTAGGCTTTTTAAAAGTAATATAGTTAAAAATTGATGATTCTCATAATGTAAATCTTAAAAAAGGAACTTTATTTGTGTATTATACCTGCGCAAAACGTATTTTGAAATTTTCGACAAAAGCATCTTGAGGTAGGTAAAGTCCGCGATCTAATATTTTGAGAACGAATAAAAATATTCAAATTCTGTGAACACCATTGTTTCTAGCTTGAAAGGGGAAACTTAATTTAGTACATTGCAAACATCACGCCATGAACATATGTGGTGTCGGCGTCTTCTGGAAGGTCTTGTAGTTGGGCAAGGAGAATGAGCTCTAGTACCTCTTCGACGTAACGACGGGCAATTAATAGTGTGGCCGAAATATTGCCCCCCTCACCTCCCCCCCTCCCCAGGGAGTTAAGGTCGTATGGCGACGTTTAGCAAATTGTATATTTTGCCTTTGACCTCTAAGTCGTCTAATCCTTATATTCCGTAAGAATGCCACAAACAAAACACTGGATACTTCGTTAAAGACGATTTGTTGCCATTCAAAGTCCCAGTGCTGTCTATCCTGACTCCATTGTAGTCTAGTAGCTTTAGGTTGTCGTATCAGCGGAAGACGAAAATAAGGACGAGATTCATCGAGATTCTACGTCCAAGTCTTCTACATCCAATTGACTTTAACGGCTCGGGATGGTTCTGATGGATCGTAAATAGCACTTCGCCTTGGGAGCCGATCTTCCCGTTCTTGTGTTGTTCGACGACGTTGACGACTTCTACGGCGAGATTCTACTAGGTTTGCTTCTTGCCCATCTCTACAGATCCGTCTTAGTTATTGTGACATGGGGTGGGCAAATTTGTCTATCAATTTCACGAAAACTTAATCCTATTTTACGCATACCCACAATTCGTCTTCGCTTAAAGGACGTAAGTTCATGAAAATTTTCACGTCTTCGAACTCGTGGCATTCTATAGGGCCCAGATAATTTGAATAAACCAAAAAAAATGCCAAGCTAATGCCATAAAGATTTTCAAAGTCTTTAAATAACTTTTTTTTTGACACCAGATTCTTTGCGGTTTATTTTAACAATAACCCTAAAAAATCTATTATGATATACTTGCATAAATTTGGTGTTAAAAGAAAGATTCTTTTAATATAAGTTCGAGAATGTAAAAATTTCGGGTGTTTCATTTGAATAATATGAGAAAACTGTCAATTTGCAAGTTTAACCACTCTGTATAAATACATTTTTTCGGAAGATAACAAAAAAAATTTCTGCAAAATTCTAAATCTTAGTTTAAAGCATGGAGAAGTTGATAATTTTAAATGCTTCTCTTTAAATGTTAATATATATTATATGATTGCAATGAAACTATAATAAGTAGAAATTTAATCTAATGTAAGTAGTGAATATACTCGTAGAACGGCGGACTTAATGGATAAACTTTGCGGATTTTGCATGTAATACTTCTTCAGGGAATTTATTGACTTTTTAACAACTGACAACACCACCGGGAAATTCTTCATATAACATGTGGGTTTTTACACAGACAACTTCATCTGACATGAATTATAACAGAACTATCTAAATCTTAAGTAAAAAAAAATGGCAAAAGAATTTTTTTCGTTTTAGGGATTATCGTGTAATAGGTACATCTATGCTCTTCTAGAATCGTTATCACAATAGTTTACTCATATATTGGAATTAAATATTTGACAGTAAGAGCTATTAGAGTAGTCTCCTAATTTTCTTGTTAGCTAAAATTGTTATTATTAACGTGTTACATATGCGTCCATTTACCGAGCTTACTGTTAATTATGTTAGCAAACATTTTTAGTTAAAAGGTTGATATTAATTTAAATGACATTTTGAATTATTCATTTAGCTTCGTAGAGACACAGCTTGTAAATAAATTAATAATTCATTATCACATTTTAGCGTGAATAATTCTTGGATTCGTGTCCTCTGATTTTTTAATGAAGGTTTAAATTTAAGAATGAGAATAAATTTCTTCATCTAAAATAAAAACCAACTAAAACACTGTAAGAAACACACAAACGTTCTACAAGCTGATTTTTTTATACCTCGTAACAGGAGAAGTTGAGGGAATCCGTAGCTCTTAGTACTAAACAGGGTATACTGGTATATGTACAGTTATACTCACATAAATCCCGTACAGATGACAGTCTGAATTTGTATCCATGCTATTGATTTTGTATTGATTTTGACACAAAAGTGAGGTTGCACAGGATTTATGTACGCATGACTGTCCGTGCTTTTCGTTATCGACTGTTTTAATTTTTTTTTGTGATTAATGTTAGACTATTTTTATCTGAACATGCACTTAACTGGTTCTCTGTTTACAAAAATATGAATTTAAATTATGTTTTGGTAGAATTAACAACCAAGAAGGATGCCCCGACTAAGAATTAGGAAAGTTGTTTATATTCCAGGTCCCCATCCAGGCGGCTTATTTATACGATGCTGTCATGATTTATGCTAGGGCTTTGACTGAAGTCTTTCAAAACAACGAAGATCCTAGGAATGGGACGGCCGTGTTACGTCGAATAGTCAACAGATCCTACCACTCAATTCAAGGATACGACGTAAGTAACATATTTGACTTTTTATTATTACACAATAACTTATTAATCCTTAACCTACTACAAATTTTGCACAGAAATTATGTTATTAGACCATGTTTGGGCAACGGTGTGCTAAAAGTCACAGTTAACGAAACTTCTTGTTATATTTATTATTAAAAGTTGTCTAGATTTGAGATTATGAGTTGGGAAATGACAATGCCAGTGAATATTTAGATTTTTGTGTCTCGTATATCAACCTTGTTTAAAAACCAAAACATATTAAATGTGCTAGAGCACGGCTTATGAAGCTTTTCAGAGAAAAATGGTTGGAGGTGATGATAAAGATTTTTTCCGGTTTTTATTAATAATAATTTAATAACATGTAGGTGAAATTTAAGATATCTCATTTTGCGCAATCTACTCAAAAAACACAAAATTAATTCAACATTTAAAAAAGGGTTAATACTGGACACAGATCCACATATGTTTTCTAACCATTAGTGGTACATTTTAAACGAAACGCCAGCGATTTCTACGGTTTTTGGCTACTGTGAAGAAACAGAAAATGTATCGTGAACGATATGTCGCGAATGATTTCTTTAAGGTAAATTTTGGTAAGCATAAGCTCCGATATGATGATATTCTTCTGAAGGTATTTTAAATTCATTGATGAACCACTGATTTTATGAAACAATTTACAATGTCAATGATCTTCTGAAGTTCACTGGGTTACAATAATTGCACTGTTAATATTGTTCTTGTCTTAGGAATTTTATAGCAAATATTCTTTACTTAACTTTGGTATCATAAAGTGTCATCTTTCATGACTCTTCTAAACAGTGGTTTTGAAACGTCTTAATATCATCAGCTGCTAAGACGTGCCAAATTTTGACCTATATCAACATACGTTCATAGTTTGCAAGAGTGACAACAGAGGTATTCAAGTGTGCATTTGCATAAGGGACTTTTGAAAGGACCAGGTTCTGTAAATCGTAGACCTAGATCCGAAAGATCTCGGCGTAGAATCGAGAATGCTGTGGAACATAGTTCACGAGGGAATTATATTTCTGTACGAGCAATTTTTCCGCGTTTAAATTTAGTTCTGAATCTTCCCGTATGATTCTTTCGAATACTTGATTCTGTATCTTTACAAATCTCAAAGTGATTTGTAACCTATTTTTATTTATAAATTTATTCCCAACTCAATGTGTAATGCACTTTATTTTGTCGATTTCCGCTTTATGATTCCTTCTCTTTTAAGGTGACTTTTTTAGCTACTCTATTTCTGTTCCCTCAATTTATATATGCATACCTTTCCCTTTTCCTGAAACTGTAATCACCTCGTGGTATAAGAATCAGCTCAGTTTGCGCAAAGGTGAGTATAGTGCGTCGACCGTCGGAGCGAATCTTAACCAATTTTGTTTGTATATGTCAGGGGGTTTTAAGTATTAACACTTGTTTTCATTCCATACCTTGTAAGAGTCTCGTTCCATACTTCAAGGTTCTCTTGTAGGTATCTCGCACTATCTGGAATGATTGTTATGTAATTCCGGAAATACACACCTTGCGAGGTCTACTTTTTCCATATTTTGATAATCTAATATGCACATGCTCTTAGTTCTTCGTTTAGTTTCTCCTATTATGACGCCCATAAATTCTATAAACAGAAGAAGACTTAGACTACCTTTTTGTCTAAACGATAGAAAAGAGGCGATGGTTTGTGTAGGAAAATGTCTGTATTTTTTGGATGATGTGTAATGTAGGGAAGTGGGAATGAGAAAATCTATTACGAGAACGATATTATTAAAATAAATGGCCTGTTTGGAAAGAAAGTCTCAATGATGAGAGCGGTGTTATTGCCAAGCCTCTCTTGGCTTGGCTCATTTAACAAAGGAGTGAATATGGGCGAAACAAATATCGGTGTCGTTATTTACGCCGTCAAAATTATGTTCTGCTATTTTGTTTCTAACCAGTGTATACTAGGACTCGATTCCCATCTTAGAAGGGAGATACATATATGCGGTCATTCTTCAATTTCCCAAAGCATGTATTCAATTTCGCAATCTCTTTGTAGAAGAAGTGTTAGTTTTTCCTTTGAATTCACACTTATTCGACGGTGTCGACACAAAGCGTTAACTAAGGTTTAGTTACTGATGAGATGAGACTGCAATCGAACCTTAGCTAAGGAGAGGACCTATGGGCCATTTGAAGGTTACCCACTGTAGTCCGTTCTGTATTGATGACCAGTCTTCGGGGTTTTTACATGAAAACTCGCCGATTAAACCCCTATTACTGCACGTGACAGGCGTCGGAGATACAACATAACGCAAGACACAATCATATCTACTCGTTAAGTTAAATATTGCTATTTATTGATTCCCGTCCAAGAAAAGTGAATGATTTGTAAATATACAAAATTACCAATTGTTTTATATCTTCATGAATCAAACGAGTGCGTTTTGATGCTAATAAGACCTTGAATCATGGAGGTAGAATACGAGGAGGGAAGATACTCTGAAAAAGCGCCTGATGCCGCGCTTTCGACTGGGATCATAAATGGCTCTTCCAGTTCCTTCGAGAAACTGGTTGTTGTGCTAGAAAGCGCTTGTCAAGAGGCTTGACATAATGATACTAAAATTAACATGTAGCAAGTTAATGACATTGATTAAGTACATATACATATATTTAATCGATGATAATGGTAATGGTCATGAATGGGTAAAGGCCAAATTCTTTTACTATTTGCTATCTGTGAATCCATTCGTAACCAAAGTGCACCGCCTCTAATCCTCTATTGACAAACGATCGCTTGCCATATAGTATTGACAGGGTTATAAATGACTCTTGCGTGGAGCTCTTTTGCCGGCTTTCTTTAGCTTTGGTTAATCATTTAACCAAAGCTAAAGAAAGCCGAGGAGGGAGTGTTCCTCATGGAACACTCCCTCCTGTCATATTACCTTCAGGCCTTGAATAATGAAAATCATCCTTCAAAATCGACGATACTAACAGATGGATGAACGAAATATTGTCTGTTACCTATATCTTGTTGTCTATATGGATTATTATCGTCTAAATCTGTCAAAATCAAATCTTGTAATACATGCAAGTCCAGATTTTTGCTGAAAACAATTTGTACTTTTGTTTTAAGTTGACCACCAAATTCATCTGAAAGACTTCGTAAGCGGTTAATTAAAAAAAATGTATTTAAATGCGTAGTAGATCTGAGATACCATCATTACAAAAAAAAAAAAAACTGAGAGAAGCCAAATTTTGTCATTGCAAATCAGGATACAGAACTATCATTCGAAATGACAAATTGTCAGTGTCAATTTTTGAAAAATTACAAAAAGTAACAATCCACGTTCTGAAAGTTCAAAATGCCTCAGTTAACACGTTCGTAAGCGGTTAATTAAAAAAAAAAAATGTATTTAAATGCGTAGTAGATCTGAGATACCATCATTACAAAAAAAAAAAAAAAACTGAGAGAAGCCAAATTTTGTCATTGCAAATCAGGATACAGAACTATCATTCGAAATGACAAATTGTCAGTGTCAATTTTTGAAAAATTACAAAAAGTAACAATCCATGTTCTGAAAGTTCAAAATGCCTCAGTTAACACGTTCGTAAGCGGTTAATTAAAAAAAAAAAATGTATTTAAATGCGTAGTAGATCTGAGATACCATCATTACAAAAAAAAAAAAAAACTGAGAGAAGCCAAATTTTGTCATTGCAAATCAGGATACAGAACTATCATTCGAAATGACAAATTGTCAGTGTCAATTTTTGAAAAATTACAAAAAGTAACAATCCATGTTCTGAAAGTTCAAAATGCCTCAGTTAACACGAATTCAGAAAGAAACGATTGATCAACGTTTAAGAGATGGAATAATTATCCGAGCTCTTGCTGAAGAATTGGATGTTGCTAGAAATAGGTACTGTTCTACTGGCTAAAAGAAAAATTAGGGACTTTGGAACAATTACAAGACAACCAGGCTTGGGTCAACCGAGAATAACCGCAGCCAATGAAGACTTGCAGTTCACAAATTTCTTGCGACAAAATCCTTTACAAACAACAGCGCATTCCAGACAGGAAACAAATTTCCCCTGTATCACTCATGACAGTACGACCTAGACTACGGGAAACCGAATTAAAAAATAGTTGTGCACCAAACAAAATATACATAATGGAAAGGAATCAGGCTGATAGAGTTGCATTTGCCCAGCAGTACGTCAACGAACCAGCTGAAATGTGGGACAAGGCAGTTGTTTCCGATGAAAAATCTTTCTAATCGTGCAACAATGGATCTTTCCGGGTTTATAGGCCAGTTAGAACTGGGTGTGATCAAGAATATATCCATAAGTACAATAAATCTGGCCGTTTTTCTTTAAAAAGGTGGGCCTGGATTAGCAATAGAGGACCGGGAGTCTGTTTGACAGTGAGTGACTGAATGCTCTTGTTTACAGGAGGATACGGAAAAATGTTATGTTTCCATCGATCTTACCTATATTCGAGCTTCAAAGAAACTTTATATTTCAGCATGTTAGAGTTCATTTTTGTTTTACATAACATTATATTACATCAATGCACAATATTAGAACAACTGCCCTGTTCATCGTGTACAAATGCAAGCCGAATTTTTTGGAAGAACAAGGTATGTGTATTTTGGCCTTCTAAAACTTATAACCCATTGAAAACCTTTGGGGAAATATGAAGGGTATTATTTATAAAAACGGAAGTCGCGTTGTGTGCTCCAGAACAAGCCTAGAAGAGGTGACGGCGATCTTTCGAGAAAGACCGCGTGGCTGTTTAAATGGGAATCATCGTCGGGAGCAGTCAGCGAAGTCCGGACAATGGGAGAAGTAGAGTCTAGTCAAAAGGGCGAATTTTCTAAATTTTGTGCAAATTTGTTTACCGTTAACTTGAATTTGAATTGAATTCTCTGGAGCGTGTGTTGCGAAGAAAGGGGAAGATTTGAGTTTGCCAGCACGGGTGAAATATTAGTGACCACAAGTAAAGACAAACCCGAAGGTTAGTGTAAAATCGTTGAACAATTCATGCGATCAACTAAGATACCTAGTATGTGGAAGAAAATGACGAAGACATCTGATGTAATTAGGAACGCCGTATTTCACAGATGTTAAATGACATACTTTATAACTTTTGACGCCGTCTTTTTTAAATTTTAACATTATACTTCAGAAACGACGGACACCGTATTTTATAAATTATGAACGCGGTACAGCGTGTTAGGAAATGCTTGCAACAAACTTTCAGAGCAAAGGCATTACAAGAAAAGTAATCTAAAATCTATGTACAACTTTTTTCAAAAATGCATAGTTTTTCTTTTAAATCGCCTTAAAAATAAGTATCACACCGTTTTGGAACTGCATGGAGGCCAATTTTTCAATAATACGTTCCATTATTTAAATTTGTATTGTTACATAGCAACGAATTAGGAATGGCAATCTGCTTTCTACCTATCAAGGGAATCGTTAAAAAAAGCATCGTTGCTTAGTTACCGAGTTACATTAACATTGTTCAAATTGTTTCAAATATTATTGTTAGATTTACTGTCATTGTCAGTAATACTCATTGAGAAAAAATGCCAGAATACAGAATAGAAGAATATGTAGACATGCATTTTGTTTATGGGGAGTGTGGAGGCAATGCTAGAGCTGCAGCAAGACGGTATGCTGAACGTTTTCCTGGGCGTCGACAACCGTATCGCGAAACCTTTTCAACTGTGGATAGAAGGTTGCGGGAGACAAGATCAGTTTTACCTAAGAATCAGGAGATCGGACGAGGTCGAGATCCAGATATGGTCAACATTGAAGAACAAATTATCACTCGTGTTGAAGAAGACTCGTCAGCTAGTACGCGTGAAATTGCTCGAGAAGTAGGGGTTGGTCACTGGACTGTGTGGAGAAGGCTACGAGAATCTCTTTTGTACCCGTACCACCTCCAGCGGGTCCAGAGTTTAAGTCCGAACGATTTCATTCCTAGACAAAACTTTTGCCGATGGATAGTGAACAGCAATAATGAAACTCTCGGATTTCTTTCTTCCATACAAATTTGTTAACAAAAGATAACTGCTGGACAATCAAAAAATAAAAAGTTAATGTTGAACGCTGGAGTGCTAAGCAGTGTTTAACACGAATTTTTACCTGATTTTTGAGAATACTTCAACTGCTTAGACTACTTTCTAGAATATTTTTTTATTTCCTAATAATAAAAAAATTCTTAAAAACAAGAACATTATATAGTTAACCATTAAGAAGTAACAAAGAAAATACCTTAAGCGTTCTATGATGTTTATTATCGATAAGGAAATCACTTCCACTGCAAAAAGGATATAAACGACAGAGTTTAAGATGAGGGAATTGGCATTATCGTACAAAGGACAAATGAAAGTACGTATAAAATGAGTTTTTCTGTCATTTCAGTAGCAAGTGTTCCTTGTTACGGTTCACTTTCGCGTACATGGCTTGCGCCGGGATTGTTTGCTTATCTTGTTCTTGCGCAGGAGCCTCATGTACATTGTGTAAGTTCGGATTTTTACCTACAAGCGGCAAATTATTTTGTTGCAATTTTCATAACGACTGGTATACGAACGATCAACAAGCGGAGTTTGTTGACCTACATTCCCAACCGCTCCGCTGCTACATTAATTGACCACATTAGGCGAGTGATCAGTGATCACACCGGACTCGGAGATATGGACCGACGATCTTAGGTCCTACAGAGTCTTCCGAATCTTGGGTGGAGCGTCCTCATATGTTCATTAAAAAGTTAACCATAGCCGCTTTTTTCAAGATTCAACAACAGGGGTCTGCACTAATCAAGTCGAAGGGTACTGAGGAGGATGAAAAATTTTATCACGAGGTTGGGTGCCATGAGTTGTCCTTTTTTGCCGGAGTATTAGATCAACTGGGAGTGCTATTGCGTTTCAGTTAATGAACTATTTCAACATTTCATTCACCACACGTCGGGATTTTTTTCAGCCGAAAGATACAAAACCCCCTTTTTCTGGTATCACTGCAGGTTTTCAGAGGCCGTTTGTGGTGTTTTCTGAAATTTCCGTTAACATCCGCGTTGGTAGCCTTATTAGCGTATCGGAACCGCGTCTATTTCGTTAACTGTAAATCGTAAATTTAAAAACCAACAATATTAACAACGACACCGCTTGATTCATACAAACTCGCTTTTCCGAACGTTCTGGACAAGTTTTCGATCATCTGTACATGTATGTACTGTATGGTTTCAACCGTTGTCTGCGCTGATACTCCAACTTTTCTTCATACGCTAGAGATTATACAATACATCACGTTTTTAAATACTAAGATGAGAAATTGTAATGTTGTATTTACGAAATATATTTTAAATTAATCTGCTCTTTTATAAGTACTATGTACTTTTGTTATTTAAAAAAGAACTACTAATTTTGTGTGAACGGTTGTAATTAATTTTAGACTAATAATAATCCATACTAAGCCTGAAATAAAGAATTGCGGAATTACTAAAGTTTTTCCTATTAATATTCTACGAGTAACATACTTCGTAGTAACTATGTTTAAAAATTTATAGCTAATAAATATGTTACATAATGTACCGACCTTGTACTTGAATTGTTTATTAACCACAGCCGAGCATTTGGACACTAACAAAAGTATTTACTGGGGTGTAGGCTCATTTCCTTGGAAATCGAAGGGCTAAACTGCAACTGCAGGTGGGGGAAGAGGTAATAATTAAACGGTCGTGATATTTTAATGTTTATGTTGAAAGATAAAACTACAAACATGATTAAAGAAAAATGATTAAATATATTCCAGGCAAAAGAACAAAATAAGGCATAGGGGTAAACTTACATAACTAAAATGTGCATAAAAGTGCTAAAAGCCCTACACGGTTGCTTTCCATTACCTCAATCTTAAGAACTACACTATAACCCATGAAATCCAATAAAACTAATTTCTAAAAATCCTTTAATAAACCCGTTACGTTAAAAACCTGAAACTAAATTTACAAAGTGCTAAATATGTGTGATACCTTCTAGATCTAACAATAATACGTGCATTTAAATCCGTAATAACACTAATAACGAAACATCGAAGACTACGAAAAAACGAATTCGAGCAATGGACTTAGCTATTTAATAAACTGCTAACTAATTACCATCAGAAATTATAAAAACAATTAAAACTAAGATTCTGGTTGGATTAATTTTCATAAAAAGCGAACGGTCAATTATTATCGGAAGATCCTCCCCGGCGACCTAAAAGCTGACACAAGGCCAAGAGTAACGCCTGAAATCGAGAACATCTGTTAACGCTAAAAGTTCTTTCCACTCCCGGCGCTACATGTTCACACCAAACGCATCGAAAACCACCGACAAAAACATAAATTAATCGCTTAATAGGTGCATGCGGTCGAAATCGGGAACCCATTAGGCTAACGAGAGCGAGATATTTTAAGTGACACAGATATAACATGGAAATTTTTCTAACTTCTTCCTGATTTCAGCAAATTTTTCTAAATCCAGTTTTCTTCAAAATTCAGCAAAAATTGGGGAAAAATCACGAAACAGGCTGATAGCACGACCTCGAGACTTGACTAAATTTTGCTTCCAGAGCTTCCGCTTCTATAGGGATTCCCGTGACATTAGAGTGTAATAAAAAAGTCTACTATATGTCCTCCATGGGATGTGCCTTAGATCGTATTTCGCAATTTTATAAGGTTTAGTTTCGCTCCGAATAGGATTTTGTCTCTCATGGATTTACGCGAGTTCGGGTCAGGTTAACTCGTAAATTTTTCGGTATTTTCAGCTTGCCTCATTTGGTTCCCATGACGTCATCTCTCGTTGAGTCAGCCTGCGTCGTCTCTGTTAGTAAAGGCAGCGTTCTTTGTTCCATTTTTTTATTGAGATTTATGCGTCTGGGTTTTCACATGCTACTGTTTAAGTTTAGCTACGAATTTTAAAGAAAATAATTGAGATTGGCGATTTTTATGGATGCGTAGTTTTGCGCATGTTGTTCGCAATGTCCGACAAGCGCAATGATATTTGGTATTTGCGAATATGTGAATTTTGTTCTTTCGCTTGGGAAATAAAAATCCAGAATCGGTGGGTAATATTTTATAGGTTACCCGTGAAATAGCATAGGCATTTCCACTTGCAACGTAGATCATTGTCTTGCTCTACTCGTACTTTAAACACGACCATAATACATAACTGTACATTTTCTGTCATAAATAGCTCTTAATAATAAAATAGTGCATATATGCATTTATTGGCTAAGTGTACGTTATTCAGGTTTTTATTGATGGAAACGGAGATGCTGAAGGTAATTTCACAGTCGTCGCTTTGTTGGATGATCAAGAAATGAATGGAACTTTACGGATGAGCATGCAACCTGTTGGTTATTTCCAATACAAATTAAATGGTAGCAACATGTCGACGGCACTTCCAGTAAGGGTAAAAATTTTCACATAAATTCATTCATGATAGTTTTGAATATGTTGCAGGAGTTTAAATACTTGGACATGGACCGACCTATTCAGTGGGTAGGGGGAAAATTGCCTAGAGCAGAACCGAAATGTGGTTTTAATGGAGAAAAATGCATTTATAAAATTGATTGGAGATTTCTTGCCAGCATGTCACTGATGTCTCTGATTGTATTAATTGGTATACTCTTCTGCGTAAAGTAAGTTTTTAGATAGATAATCACTGAAATTGTTAAATGTGGGCAACGCTGTTTTTATTTATAGAGATTTTTAAATCTAATGTAAATTTTTATTATTAAAATATTGCAGACACTATCGTTATGAACACAAATTGGCCTGTCTTTTGTGGAAAATTGATATGAGGGACGTGACTATAATACCCACGGAAACTACAGAATTATCTAACAAAAATATGGTTAGAAAATTTTCAAAATTCCTTTGATAGATGTTTATTTTTGAAAATGGTTATTGAAATATCAACTATAAACAGCTTCACTAACAAGCAGGCACAATAAAATAACCACTTTCACGTTAGACTCAACGCATAGTTATCACTATATTGGTTACTTCTGAAACATTTTAACATTTCAGATACAAGTATGTCGGCATAGTGTGTTCCAAGCTCCTAGCAGTAGCATAGCCGAATTAGCCGAAACGTCACCCAAGCGAGCATATACAGATATTGGATTATATAAAGGCAACATAGTTGCTATAAAATATTTAAAAAAGAAATCAGTGGATCTTACAAGGTCTATAAGGAAAGAGTTGAAACAAATTCGAGAAGTGAGACATGAGAATTTAATTCCATTTATTGGAGCCAGTGTCGATCATGGCAGTGTGGCTGTTTTAACTGCCTACAGTGCAAGAGGGAGTTTAGAAGATGTTTTAGCCAATGACGATCTTCATTTAGACAATATGTTTGTGTCATCTTTGGTCACAGACATACTTAAAGTGCGAAAACTAGTTGATGCATTAATTAATTTTATATTACTCGAAAATAATTTCAGGGAATGATTTATCTTCACGACAGTGAAATAATTTCTCACGGCAACTTAAGATCTAGCAACTGTTTAATTGACAGCAGATGGGTGTTGCAAATCACTGATTTTGGTTTACATGAATTCAAAGCAGGTCAAGAAGACCTTGAAATGCAAATCAAAAACTTAAGAAGATCGATGTGGAAAGCACCAGAATTATTACGAGATCCAGCTCCACCAACTCGAGGCACACAAAAAGGGGATGTTTATTCTTTTGGTATCGTTCTGTACGAAATTATTGGACGAAGAGGACCATGGGGCAGGTTAAACTTAGAACCAGCTGGTAAGTTAAGTTTTAGCATCAATTTAAAGTGATATTCAGGTATTGTTAGAAATAGTAAGGCAAGTAAGAGAAATCAGAGACGTACCGTTGCGGCCGCCGCTTGAAAATTTAGAGGCTGCCGATTATATAATCAAATGTATGAAAGCTTGCTGGCATGAAGAACCAGATCAAAGACCAGATATTAGATATGTTAGAGTGAGACTTAAGGAGATGCAAGCCGGGCTTAAAGCTAATATTTTCGATAATATGCTTGCCATAATGGAGAAATATGCGTACAACTTAGAAGGTCTAGTTCAAGAAAGAACAAATCAGCTGACCGAAGAAAAAAAGAAAACTGAAGCTTTACTTCATAGAATGCTTCCAAAGTAAGAAAACACACCTAATATCCAACTTTTTATATTTGAAACAAATTTAAGGTCCGTCGCCGAAGCGTTGAAGCGAGGAGATCGTGTGGAAGCCGAAAGCTTTGACTGCGTAACAATTTATTTTAGTGACATTGTTGGCTTTACAGAATTATCAGCAGTAAGCACACCCCTTCAAGTGATAGATTTATTAAATGATCTCTATACATGTTTTGATTCAATAATTTCGCATTATGATGTCTACAAAGTATGTCGTTTGTCTAATCATTAATAACGAATCTTAATCCAAAGTATTAGGTTGAAACTATAGGAGATGCATATATGGTAGTAAGTGGACTTCCAATAAGAAATGGCGATCGACATGCTGGTGAAATAGCTTCAATGGCGCTTCATTTGCTTAGTAAAATAAGAAAATTTGAAATTAAACATAGGCAAGGGGAAGTTCTTCAGCTTAGAATTGGAATACATTCTGGACATTGCGTTGCTGGAGTTGTCGGACTGAAGATGCCTAGATATTGTTTATTTGGAGACACTGTTAATACAGCCTCAAGAATGGAAAGCTCAGGGGAAGCTTTCAAAATCCACATATCTCATGCGACTTTTGAGCTTTTACAGAAACTTGGAGGCTATAGGTGCGACGAAAGGGGTGTTATTCCCATTAAGGTAATGGACATTTTTTAATTTATAAAATGATTTACCAGTTAATATGTTAGGGAAAGGGAGAAATGCGTACCTATTGGTTAGTTGGAGAAGATCCTGCACAGAGACTAGCAAGAATTCGAGAGGAAATTGTGGGTTCTTCATTATTCAGCAGCATAAGTTCGGACAGTAAGAATCCCTAGTAAGTCTGCAATTGAAATAAATTCTTTTCCACCTAGGGTTAAGTGAAACTCCTGATTTATTACGTCAACCTGGTGTCAACTTTTCAATTGATGGTGCGCAATTTCCTCAGCACTCCTGTGCTTTATTACAATTACATCAACGTGCTAGAGAAGCTTATTCTATGCATTACAGTCAGGTTAGTAACATACTATCATTTAATTACGTAATACAAGTTATTTTTGCTTTAGGAGAATTTAACGGCGGGTGATTTAAGAAGACATTTTCAGTCGCATTGTTATCATAATCGAAATCCAAGATCAGCTCCTGCCATTACCTTTACAGATTTAAATTATCGTTATATGTAAACATCCGTCATTCGTAACATCTGTGTTACATGTCAATTATTGTTGAATATGTTGGTATTCTATTTGTATAATAATAAATGTTGAAAAGCAATTATCCTAATTTGAATTCTAAATTGCATTTCTGAATGATTATGTAGCATAAAATTATTTTTAAATCAGCTTTTCAATAGCTTTAATCTTCAGTGCATACAATATCACAAAATTGGTCTAAGGTTATTCAGGCAGCGCTTCCCTCGCCCCTGAAGTGCAGTCAAATAAATTCAGTTTTTTGCGTACATTATAAAATTTGATTTTGCGATTTTTTTGTGATAAGCTTGCATGTACTTCAAGTAAGTTTTTCATAACATCAGCAACTTTTTAGCAAGGATACATAAAGTGTGTATTCTCAAAATTTCCGACAAATGAGGTGAGCCTTCTTGATTTGATCAATAAAGTAAGTTATTTTATGTATTCATATTTTTCAGTCATCTCTATAGTAGTCATATTTGCGTAACTTTTTATTTAATTCACATTATTATGCCTAGTTTTCTTAGTCATTTTCCTATGTTTTATGCATTTTTTTTCAACAAAAACCCGTTTTTCAACTAAAACACCAAAAACCACGTTGAATTTGACTGTTTACCCTGATTTTTAACCCCTAGCTTCTAACTCCAATTTTCCTAAAAACATCAATTTTTTGGGAAAATGACTCAATTTTCACGTTTTAGTCGTTGAAGTTTGTTGAGTTTGAAAAACAGCCATTGAGGTCTTTTCAAAAACACAAAAAATTGAGTAAATGAGTAAAGTTTTTAGGCTCATTTTATCTACTGAAACATCAATTTTTTATGGAAACTACCCCATTTTTATGGTCTTTTTAAAAATGTGAGCCACATTTTTATGCTAAAAATAAAGAAAACTACCCTGTTTTTTTCAGATTTCTTAAAAATGTGAGCCAGACATAACAACTGAATTTGTGGTTTTTGTTAAAAAAAAAATGCATAGAAAATGGAAAAATGACTAAGAAAACTAGGCAAAAAAATCTGAGTTAGAACGTTACACATACCTGTTAGACTATTAAAATTGAAAATTATTTAGTTTTTCAAGTCCATATCAGACAAATAAAGAAATCTAACTCACATTTTTATGGAAACAGCATTGAATCATAAAAATCAAATATTTGAGTTATCATTTAAAACTAGATACTAGAAAGGCCATTCCAACACATTATTTTTGTTTAAAGGTTTTGACCTGTTTTTAAAGCATATTAAAAAAGTTTTTGTCTCATGGGGCTGTTCAGCACGACAGTTAAAATATTAAGAATTTTGTCCTATTTTTTAAGGTAGAAGGCATGCTATACAAACTCATGTAGATAAGGATTGAAAGAAAATTAACAGATTTTTCCGACAGGGTAAAACACCCTGTCTGTGAAATTGATGTAAAAACTGTATATATTAATAAATTAGGATTATAGGTATGCCATTTTACCCTGTTTTGAAGTTTGTGCTATATGTTTAGCACAGCAGTTCAAATTTAAAGATTTTAATTATGTGAATTGGAAAATTTGGTGAGTCCGTTGTCATTTGTCATCATTAGTTAATCATCAGTAAGTTGGCAATCTAATCCTAAAGTTTTTCGTTCTTCAATTATTGTAAATTATTTATAAATCATAACGACAAATAACATAAAGTTTTCTCAGGATTCCGAACACGGTCTGGCAAAATTTATCCGAGGAGCACAGATCCATTCTGGAACTTATGATAAAGAATTTGAAACTGACATTTAAAGTACAAGAACAAGAACACCAGTTGAAAGTCAAAGAACTAGAAGATGCATTTAAATCCGAAAAGCAAACGTTAAAAGACGAACTAGTAGTAAGTTAACGTAATTTTGATTAATTAAAAAAAATGTCATTGTTTTCTTTTAGTCTACAGCCAACTTGAAAGTTCTAATAAGAGATAAACACCTGAATATTAGTAGTTTTATCAATTATGTTAAGGAGGAACATCTATCTAATAAAAAGGGATCGATGGTAGACCAATTTCAAACTTTAGCAGCTGAGAACCTTCATCTGCTAAAGAACTGGAAAATTAGCAAGAAATCATTGGATGACGTTTTTCGCAAATTGATGAAGAAATTGAACGCATCCGCGCACCCATTTATTGACTATGGTGATAATTTTGTACTGCCTGAGGCAGACTTGGAACATGAAAAATTGAAATTATTAGGTTTCATCTGGTGTGCGGTGCCGCTGAATGAAAAGAAGATATACATATATTCGAAAATTAAACAACGAAATTATTAATTTAGTTGTATTTATTGAAGAATAAATTAAAGTTACTCGTTTATACAAAAAATATGTGTGTAATATTTTCATTGTGTGCTGTTCAAAAAAGTGATTTTTTAATCAGTTGCAAAACGATAAGAAGCCAGTTTATTTAATAAAATTTTCAGTTGTTCAAAAATACCTAGATTGGGACAATGAATAGTGAAAATCAAATGAAGCAGCTTTTATTAACATATTTGAAAATTCATCATATTCATATAAAATTTGGGTTTATAGTACATTCATTCAATTCAATATAATAATAATTATTATCCTAAAATATAAAAGTGCGGCCTGTGTACGAATTAAAAATTGAATTTTCTCACTCATAACATAACTCATAAACGTTTCCAGAATGCTTTAATTGAAAATTAGGAAATCCAATAAAAAAATTAAATACTCTATTTATTATTATTATTATTGTTAATAAGTTGGTTTACAGGCCTTCATTCAATTACAAACCAACCATACACCTTCGACACAAACTTAGCTCATTTAATATATATGCGATGTGCATTGTAGCAACAGCTTAAATATCAACTGTGCCCTCATTTGAGTCACTTTATTAAATGAAGCTAATTACAGATATTCATTACACCAGCTAAAATTTCCATATTAGCATCCACAGGTCTCCTACACACCGTCAATCTATCGTTAAATACATCATACTTATCTGAAATTGCATTATAAAGTTCACACATCAAAAAAGTTGGAGAATGCTGCAAAACATTGGTGTTGGGCTTAGGGATATAGAAAAAACGAAACGCTCGGAGATTCATCTGAGGAACATTAACACTCACAAGAGAAAGCAGAAAAGAAGAGTCTATCAAACCATGTAGAATTTTATACAAGAATATCAATAGACTATTGATACGGCGTACACTTAACGATTTTAAGTTAGCACTATCATACAGTATCACATTGGAAGTTCCACGTGCAGAGAACACTGGAAACAAGTCCTGAAAATGAACCCCAGCATTTTCAGTGCCGCCGAAATAACTTTTTTAATATGTAAGCTCAACGTGAGTTCACAGTCAAAAGTAACACCTAAATCAGTTATATTAGAACACCGTCTTATGGAAATGTCATTTGTCCGATAGTCAAACGCCACCTGATGCTTTCTCTTGGAAAACGATACCACTCTGCACTTACTAATATTTAATTCGAGATTATTTTTTTAAAGACCATCCAAACAGCCGATCAATATTGCTCTGTAGCTCGTGACCATCATACAGCTCGTTGACAGTGGAAAATAACTTTAAGTCATCCGCAAAAAGTAGAACACGGACATCATTTATAAAAAGAAGAAAAAGTAAAGGCCCTAAGTTGGAACCTTGCGGCACTTCGGAATTCACCTGAAGCCTGGCTGAGTGATATCCCATAACATAACAGATACAATTGGACAAATATGATTTCAGTAGAATCATGAGAGGATCGCTAATACCATAACATCCAAGTTTCTGTAGCAATACCTCATGATCGATACGATCAAAGACCTTTGCGAAATCCGTATAGATTACATCCACCTGCAAATTGCTGTCCAAACCATTGGCAATAAAATGAGAGACAGAAGCCAAGTTGGTAGCAGTTGATCTACCCTTGACAAAACCATGTTGGTGATCTGAGATATAACTTTTTACGTTGTCATAAATGTTATATTATACATTTTCTTCTACTAATTGGTAATAACAACGTATTTTATATCTTCATATTTAACTCATCAATCAAATTGTGCCCCCCCCCCCCTATTTCAAAAGGTCACGAGCCGCCACTGGGTATTTGTGTTAAATAAATAAATAAATGGATTCGTTGGGTTCTTTACCTATTCATTTTATTAAAGCCGATGAAAAACAATATTATAATATTAATAAATTAGCTCCAAAATGGCCTTTTATATTAATAATTATAGGACGAAGCGGTTCTGGTAAAATAAATACTGTTGTCAGTCTTTTAAAATATTTATTTTTTGATACTTATTATTTGTATGCGAAAGATTATCAGTTATTACAAAATGTTTTGATGATGAAAAAATTCAAAATATAATTGAATCGTATTATTCGTCAAATATCGAAGACATAGTCAATGTAGACGAACTAGATAGAGATAAACAAAATTTAATTGTTGTTGATGATTTCGTAACGGAAAAAGATCAAAAGAAACTGGTAGATTTAGCTATACGCGGAAGAAAAATGAATGCGTCATTGATTTATATAACGCAGGATTGGTATAGAGTACCAAAATCAATTCGTTAACAGTGTAATTATCCTTCAATATTTACATCCTGTGATGGTAATGATATAAGCTTAATATTTAGAGAAAAGGGATTGGATAAGAAACTCAGGGAATATTATGAAAATAACATCAAAAATTTTGATTGCTTCACTATTGATTTCAAAAATCCTGAAATGAAATATAGGAAAAATTTTACACTCATAAATGACATCTGAATACGGTCTTAGAAAACTTAGAAAAAAAGGGGTAAATCAAGGAAAGGACCACCTAGTGTAGGATTTAATCTAACAGAAAATGGTGATTATGATATCGGAGGACACAAATTACCTAATGTAAAACAACCTGAAAATCCTGGTGATGCTGTTAATTTACAATATTTAACGTCAGCGTCCACAAAGTGGACTAGTACCTTGCATGCTGCTGTGGATAAAGTCGACGATAATATGATTTAAAAAGATGATGCAGA